GATGAATGCTGGTTTATCACCTTCCAAAAAAAATTTTCTGTTAGGGTGCTTGTAGAATATACTATAACTATCCACTTGTTTTCATATTTCTAGCTGCTGATCAGTCCAGAGTAATGCAGGAGCAGATGACAGGAGCAGCCATGGCCATGCCTGCAGATACCAATAAAGCATTCAAGGTACAAGACTTTTTTCCAACTGCTGAAATTAATTCTTCAAATCATAGGTAGCATTTCCTTGAATGTTCAGGGAAAATGCTTTTAAAGAAAGAATAGCTATAGAGCATGCTAATCTGGAATTCATAGCAGGGATGCTTGCTGAATAATTCTCTAGGACAGTGCTTTTTAAAGGTTTTCTTTCAGGACCCTTTTCTACTTTTAAAAATTATTGATGATCCCAAACAAGCTTTTGTTTGCTTGGGTTATATTTATCAATATTTATTGTGTTGAAAATTAAATTTAACACTTTTACTGCATCTCACGATTATCTCATTTAATTTTAGTATTATTTTCCAATATAGGCTGGCAAATAATTTTGATTTCCCAGACCCCTCCCCCCAAGAGGATCCAGGGGCTATATGTTGGAAAACACTGCTCTAGACAATAATTACATTAAAAATTCATATTCACAAAAAGTATTTTTTAACTATACTGAAACTCTTTGGAAATGTATTGGCATATTGCCAGTGAAAATACCATTCACGCGAACTGCTTATTAATTTAGCAGGTATCAAAATATTCAGTTAATTCAGAGCAGCAACTAAGCTCAACAAACTCCATCAGTGCTTTGGAGAGTTTGGGAAGAAACTCACATGACTGAATTTGTTTACGTTGTGAGCACAGTGGAAATATGAGGAATTTACTTGGTAATCTGTAGAGCTACTTCAGTGTTCATTTTTATTGAGAGAAAACGACATCAAAGTCCCTATGAATCTTATTTGGATAAAAGTGATATGTTATGCAAAATGTGGCCATGATTATAATATGTTAAGCATTGGCACCAACTGACATATTGGCCAGGAAGATTGCTGGTTAAAAGTTCAGGCAATTTTTAAATAAGTTAATCATGGATATATACCCAACTGCTCAAATTTAAAACTCGTAAGACATGATATTGAACAAGACCTCTCCATCAATTTCAAAAGAGCCAGGGTAGCTATTTGGTGTATTCTACTGGTCTTATCAGTGCTCTTTTTTTACCATTACAGACAGAATGGGAGGCTCTAGAACTAACTGACCACCAGTGGGCACTGGAGGATGTTGAGGAAGAACTCATGGCTAAAGATCTCCGCTTTGAAGGCATGTTTAAGGAAGAGTTGCAGACATCCATGTTCTGAGGACCTTCATTTGGTTGACATTAAATCAGTTATGTTTAATAGCAGAAGTGTGTTCTTATTCATGACCAGAATAAATTTGATCAGAATTTCTGTGAATTATGTAGCTGCGGGCAAAAAGTCTTGCTTCAAGAGCATCTTCTGAGACTAACTGATGTTTTTGAGTTATCTTAAAACTTGTGCTAATCGTTTTTCATTGATCAAACGTAAACTACTAAACTTGTAGCCCAAGCCAAACTTATTGGAAGAAGAATTTATACGTTGTGGATAGCGGAAATGTATTAAGAGTTCAATACAGTGCTGCTGTATCTGTTAAATGTCGCCATTTCCCAAAAGATGGTTTAATCCTGAAGTTCCTTGACAGCTAGGGCTTAACCCCACTACATTTGAGAAAGTACCTATCCTTAAAGACTTGAATTTAGGTGGTATTTGGTTATCCAGATGTTCAAGTCTTGGAGCTTGGCCAAGAGCCGGATGAAGAGTCACCTTTTCCTTTCTAATTTTTCTCCTGTCATCTAGGTAAACACAGTGCTGTTCCCAAAATGGATAGTAAATTTCACTGTAGTAAATATCACTCACTAGAATAACCTGCATTTTAATGTTAGAATGGAATACTAGTGAAGTATGGATTAGAATCAGATAAATTCCTCTCTTTATTGAGATATGTTTTGATGGATTTTTAGATTTATAGAAAATGGGCTTTCGGTCTTAAATTAATCCATCCTTAAGGGACGAGCATTTAAAGTTTCAACATGTATATGAAATCAGATTCTTTATGAATTATGTTCATAGCTTTTGGAGTAAAGAGTGTTGTGTGTATAATCAAGACAATACATGTTCCTGAGTCCACAAGGCTAAAGCCAGATTGATTGAATAATTTTCTTTAGGTATCAGCCAAAAGTTATACGTGGCTGTGGCTCAGTTGTCAAACTGTGACACTAAAGTAGCAACGCATTAAAAGACAAGTTCAAGATTTTTTAACCGTGTGGTGTATGTACAGTATTTCCAATATTTCTCGTTAGTTTTTGAGAATATCATTGGCCTTGGTCTACCCTTGTTAAGTCTGCAGCCCCATGAACTTCTCAACCAGTGAGTCCTTTGCTGAGAATTCTGAGAAGTGATGCGCATTGCACTTGTTGAATTATGCTGTATCGTGGTTCTGTGCATCAGCAGAATAACAACAATAAGCAGTTCATTACCATTGAAATGGCAGTGCTATATAGCAAGTAAAATGAATAAGCCCATAGATCACATTGTCCCAACGGAAACCCGTGGGGATGCATGTTATATTTAATACTGTTACCATCCTTTTTCTTTCACAAACTAAAAATAGGAATGAGAAGAGGTCCTTTTTTCCTTGTTCCTTAACTCTACCCAAAGTTGAGCAGTTTAGGGAGGCGGGAATTATGAAGGAAGTGAGGTTTAAGCCTTTCTTCCTCTCAGATTGTTCAACTTACTGCAAGCACTGATTTCAAACACTTCAGGTAATATCTTGAGTTGTTGGTTCTGATGAAGTGGGATTTAGGCTTGGCCATGGCCTGTGGACTAGATATTTCCCATTGCTGTCTTGGGGGTGGGGGGGGGGGGGGATATATATATATATGTGTGTGTGTGTGTGTGTGTGTGTGTGCGCGCTGTGAAGCTAGCTATGTCAGTGAAGCCCATAGGAGCATCCCCATACTTTGTTTCTTCTGCTGTAGGCAGGGTTTCTGTTTTAGATTCACAACTTTAATTCTATCTCATGTCTCACGTGAAGATTATTTATTTTGTAATTAAGGTGTGAAAATTGCTTCTTTTTTTTACTTTCAGGGCACCCTTCTATCTAGTTTAGGCTTGTTTAAGTCTACTTTATGCAACCAAATATTTTTTCAGCAGTAATACAACTTGATTTTTATCTCAGTGCCATTTCCTTATGAAGAAAGTAGAAAGCCTCACCTCCCAATAACTTGAAAAATATCCATGAACTCTTTTTTATTGCATGTCTGGGTTGATGGGTATGGTTATTCTGTTCCAGATTCATAGCAAATGTCGTACTTAAGTTGCACTTTAGTAATACACATTTTTATATGATATATAAACAAATTTATGCTAGTGTGCTCATATCAAATAATTACATGTCCTTATATCAAATGATTTAAGAAGAACTTGAAGAAAGTAGCATTCTAAAGATTGAATGTTTACTGAAAAATAATAAATATATCTGTAAGGTATCTCAAGTATACATAATGATATATAAAATATCCATCTTCCTGGTAATCATAAAGCAAATCACTAACATGATGGACTCAATTTTAGATTTTTTTGGTGACTTGTTAAGCAAATGCTGTAGTCATAAAGCCCCCCCAGTTATTAAGCAAATGTCACAGTCATTAAGTGAACTGATTGTTCACTATGGGGCACTTTTACAAAAAATGGAAGTAAACACCAGGTTTCAGCAAAATTGTTGTAAATTGTGGTTATGTGACCACAAAATGCTGCAAACAGCCATAAATGCAATGTATTCAAAATGCAGTTATGAAACTGTGTGTGTGTGTGTGTGTGTGTGTGTGT